AACTTTACGGACATGAATTCCCGCCATCGCTAGGCGCACTTTCGCACGTGGAGTGTCGCTAGAGGCCACAGAGAGCGCCTCTGCGTCTGACGCCCAGTGTTGCCATATCGGCGGAATTCCCGCCGTTTTCAGCGGATTTTGAACTCGTAGGCGGAAAAAATATTAGTTTCGCGGACAGCGGAATAAACGGCGGAAATTAATAAAGTTAGTGAAGCAGTAAAATTAGTAAAGGATCAGTTTTCGTTAACCTTTATTAATAAGTTGCTTTGCACAGATGTATATTTTTAAAATGTCTAAATCCATGTTACTAGCAAGAATAAATAATATAATACTTATATAATAAATTATATAATACCTGAAATCTATTGTTATCATTTTGCACATTTTCACTCAAGTAATGCATTCTATATTATCTAAAAATTGAATTGCAGATTCAATAAAGCCACTATATAATACAATCGCAATTATTTTTTTAATAGAATAAATTAATACATTTAAATATGGAAAAAGGAATGTATTTTACGTTTAGCGGATTTTGGCGGGAAATTTAAAACCAGTTCAGCGGAAACAAACGAACCTGGTGGAATCCCTCTAAACACATCTGGCAACACTGCTGACGCCCTCCGACGACACGCCGCACGTCTTCTACAGACGCTGCTCCTGTACTAATTACGTATAACATCCTTATAACACGAAAAACTTCAATGATTCATCAACGTATCACCAAATCCGCTTTTATCTGAAAAAATACACACTTTACTTTTTATGAACTTAAGTTCAGTAAATTAATAAGAAGAGTCCTTTCACATAGACATTTTCACGCTATGACCATTCTCGCCTTTGACTCTACAAATCCACTCATAACCATCTGTTCTTCCTTTCTCTCGGTAAATTTCATATCTTTCTTGTATACATTACATACACGTCGAGACGCAAGCAAATCCATTTTCTGGCACCACTGAATCACATTCAAACTTCCCTTTCGGCGCAAATCATAAAAACATTCTGAATTTATACCTTCCATCTCGATAGACACACAAAACAATTAAAAAGAAAGTTCAAATGGCAATAAAATATGCAAATTCACGCCACAAATTTCTTCGCGATTACACTATTCATAAAATTATGAAGTAAATAATCTTGTAGTCATAGTAACAACTAAATGCGTTATTAGGAGGCTGTTTTATTAGTAAATCAAGTCTATTTCAAACACCTAGCTAAAGTCTTAATTTTGTGATTTAAAAGAATGTTGTGAAGTGAAATTTTAGATGTGAATTGAAATTTAAAATGTATCGTCATGAAGAAAAATGTTCTGTAATTGGAAAAATGTATAACTTTATTTGGCATAGTGACATAGTTAAATTGTGTATATATTTATGCTTTGAATCAATGCCTTAAAAATTGTTCTCCAGTGATTGAAGTGAACCGCGAAACTATAACCTTGTGAATCACGAGATTAGTGAGCCGAATCAGTGAACCAAAGGAACCGGTGCCACCCTAAACTCCGGATCAACCGAATTTCGTAACAATTCTGGAAATTGATGAAATCAGTAGTAGATGTCAGACGTCATCCTTTGGTGGCGCGCAGCTAAACTATTGACATTGATGCTCTCTTGAGTCTGTGATGTAAAGCTAGGCGAAAAATGTCCAGAAAAGTAATCTTTGTGTAAATACATTAAAGTTTATAGCTGTAAATCATAGCGTACAGTACTTTAGACCTTTAAAGGAAGCTAGCACAAAAGATTCATCCACATTCGTTTAGTGTATTATATATTAGTATAAATATACATAGATAATTTACGTCATATTCATCTTCCAATGACAAATGACTGCTGTAGTAATGTAATTGTTTCAAGTTTTCTGCATTACAAACAAAAGAATAAGATTTTGATGAAAATCAAAATTGTAGAGGTTGTGTTTCTTTGATCTCATATACAAAGCAATGTTTGCACTCATTAATTCTATGCGGAATAATCTACAGCGTTTTGTTTATATTAACTATGATTTTTTTAAATGTCGCTTGCAAGAAAGTAGGTTTATGAACAAAACCTACAGCTGCACAACTGGATTTATACACTCTTATTACACATCGTCTGGAAAGTTGAAATTATTTGATTCCAACAAAAGCGGATGTCAGAAAGTAAGTTGGATTCGAATGTGTTTGATATCAAAGTTATACTCTTAAGCAAATTTCGAATTTCTTAAATCTTGTCAAATGTATGTAGTGATTGTGAGAACGTTGCAATAATTTTTAATAGATATGAAATAATTATCGTAAAAGTTGCAAATCTAATGCACATTAAAGGGTAATTTTGAAACGTTTCACAGGCACCTACAAAATGGGGCATCGTTAGTGCTGGCAAGATCTCTCACGATTTTGTGACGGAGCTTAGCACATTACCAACGCAAGAACATACAGTGATAGCCATTGCTGCATCTCAGCTTGACAGTGCCCAGAAATTCGCAGAATTACACAAAATTCCTAAAGCATGCGCATCATACGATGAATTAGCTCAAGACAAAAACATAGGCAAGTTGTATTGTACTTGTTGACGACACGTAGGGAAGAGTTTCTTTCTGGTTTTAAAAAATAGACGTGCTGATTGCAAAACAAAGTTTAATTTAAATTCGCCAGTACTTCACAAAGAAGTAGTTTAACATTTAGTCACTGGTGGAAACGTGTTAAAAAACTTAATATAGAACAGTGTAACATTCCACAGTTAACTGCGTTCATTACTAAGTGATTTTGCAAAAAAAAATTAAATATAGAATATAATAACTATTGATGTTGACAAAGATCAATAGTTATTATTTGTTTGTTTGTTTTGTATATTTTTAAAATTCTATGTGTTCACTGTGAATATGATTGTATTGCTTCAGATTGTTAAATCTCTCTTATTTTATCAGTCTTGCTGAATGAATACTGGATGACATGAAACAATATTTTTGAGGCTCTCAATTTTCCATATAGACTTTATGTAATACTTTTCAACTGCTACTTTTATAAAGCTCTTACTTTTGAGCGATGAAATCTCAATAGATCAGCTGGTTTGATTGATTTGTTAAAGACACACCGGGTGAATGTGAAGTTTGGGGGTCAAAAACATTTTAATTTTTTTCAGCAAATTATTTTGCGATTTTCTTTTGTAATTATATTTTAATATTTGTAATAATGCATTCATTTTATATTTTTTCTCTATTATATTTTGGTATGAAAACTTAGATTATTATTTTTATTTTTGCTCTTTCACAAGATTAAGGGCATGTTTAAAATTCAGGGCCATATTCATAATCGACATTTATACGATAAGTTAACGCTTCTGTAATAAGCATTTACTTAAAATATGTGGATCCATATGATAGTTTGGTATTCATAGACTCTACTTATTCTAGAGATGCACTCAGGCAATATATCTCTACATTATATTTGGCAACATTCCTTTATTGGTTACTAGATACGAATCTAGAAGGCCGTGTCAATCTTGATTACGATTTTGGCGGTATTTTTAAGCGTGTGTGTATCTAGTTACATCGACAGACGCAGAAAATAAATTATTAATTTTGTTTCGTTGCTTTGATACGTTAAGTTCTGTGCAGATAATTACTTTTGTTAGACTTTTTCAGATTTTGCGTGATCAGGAAGTATAATTAGCGACATACGAAAGTTTTACAACATGAATTTTTCATGAACGTTTTAATACTTCTTGATACCACTTCAAATATTTCTGTAATAATTCTGCCAACTGAGAGCTGATTTATTCTATAGATATCTGTATTTATCAACCGAAAGATAATAAAATAAAAACTATTTCATATGATGCATTGTGATCATTGTAAGACTATAAAACATGGTCCTCGAAGGATAACTTACAAAATATACCCCGGTGGTCTACAATTGAAATGAATAAATTATATGATGAATATATGAAACTGATATGATGATGTTGCATAAAATATGTGTACCATTAGCATTTTTAGGACACATGGTAATGGTTATCCACTATTCCTCATGCCCACATTGTGAATGAGCAATAGAGGCACTAATGTTGACAACCACATCCTTGTCAAAATTATATCTCTTATTAAATTCTTGTTGTTTATGCTTTCCAAAGGATTTTCCATGTCTCTTAAATATTGGTTTGGTATACAATCTTCTAAATTGATTTCAATAATTCCAAATACCATTCCATAATTATCTTTGATGTTATTCTCCGTTGAAAAATAATGTCCACTTAAGGGTACAGACAAGCACACTTTTAGAATAAGCGAATGCATAAGCAAACACTTACGTGACGTCCATGAATTGAAAATGAGAAAAAGTAAACACTTAAGTGATCCTCAAAAATAAGTGTCGACTATGAATACGGTCCTAAATATTTCACAATGTATTTTACGTGTTTTTATACTATTAAGCCCTTTTTACATGGTAATGTTTTTATCACTTTTCATTGGTACAGAAAAATGGGTGCAGACTGGATATTACTTGTACAAGAAATTGATGCATACTTCAGGTTTGGTACAGATTCCATACAGTTTGACTTTCGCGCTCCTGGCGTCACTTTTCGGAACTTTTCCTCGTTCGCTCGTATTAAGGTGGTGTGATTTATCCTTTTATGCAATAGTGAGAGCGTTCTAATGTGTTAAATTGTAATACGAAGTGATAGTGTGGAGAGAAATAAAACGTACTGTTCTAATGACGCCTCGTTCTATGATCAGTCCTCAAATAAACTAATTTAATATGTAACCAGAAATGCGATGTTCAACTGTTTGATTTTCAGCGCTTTTTGCAGCGTTCTGAGGAAATATTTTCATCACTATCACGTGCCTGAAATACACATGCTAGAAATCGTTCTTTCAGTCTCAAAATTGCATGGAAACTAACATCCCTTTTCCATTTTTTTCTGTTCCGAAAAATGATGAAAAAATGATCGTGTAAAACGGGATGTAGACGAGTTAGAAGGCACTTATAAAAATTGAACTTTCTTACTTTTTGCATACAGATGTTGTTTTCATTGGTGCAATAAATTCGCGCCATTTACATATTGGTAAACTCATGTTAAAATGTGGAAAGACAGTTCTCTGCGAGAAAACTATGGGATTAAATCTGAAACATTGTCGAGAGCTTCTAGACATAGCCAGAGAAAATAAAGTACTCCTTATGGAAGCAATTTGGACACGATGTTTTCCTGTCTATGAAATATTGCGAAAGGAACTAGACTCGGGAGAAGTAGGAGATATTGTTCAAGTTTATGCTACAGCCGGATGTTCTAATGCTGAAGTAGAAAGAATAAAGTAAGTACTGAAAGCTGGATGGAAGATTAAGGTGAACTTCACGGATAATTTGTCCACTCCGCTTGAAGAAACTGAGGGAAGAGTGGAGAGTAGATAATACTTGTGTTGATATTGTGACCTGACAGAACAAATGCAATGTCAATTTTGCAATAAGAGGTCTCATAGTTGTACTTAATAAATCGCTGAGACTAAAAGCTACAACCACACAATTGCCTCTCAATTGGAATTGCCTAACAGAAGCAAGAAAAATTCCCCAAAAGCATTTTGACATAAAAATACTTTGACCAACGTTGAAAATTTTAGTATGACCAAGTAGTTTTAGTATGAAGCTATCTCTGTTAAACATTGCTTCGTTTAAGTCAAAACACATAGATTGTTTCACTTCTTCACTCTTCCCGCAGCGCTCTCAAATGGGCAAAGCTGTCCCAAAGTAGTTTCATCCATCTAATACATTTATAGTGAATCTAATTTCTTCACAGATCGAAGGATTTAGGAGGAGAATCAATTAGCGACCTTGATTGTTATCCATTGCAATTTGCTTCATTTGTGTTTGATGCAAGATGCTCCAAAGATACTGCTGCTCTTGGTTACATAAATGAAAATGGAGTGGACTTAAGTATGGGATGTGTAATTACATTTGAAACCGGGCAAACAGCTATTCTCAGCACTCACACAAGATCAGATTTTCCTAACGATGCAGTAATTATAGGCACAAAAGGTATTTTCCTTCGTGTAGTTTCTTCAGTAGAAAGAAATTATGAATTATGTGTAGTCCTAACATTTTATTTGTACTATTTTAGGGTCCAGTTCCATTTTGGTGCCATACACAATTAATAACGCCTGAAAAAAACTATAAATTAGATCTATCAAAAGTTATTTCAACAATTAATTATATGAAATGTGCAACACTAATCTGTGAAGATAGTGATGAACAAAGCTATTTGACGGAAGGTATCATTATCCATATTATTTTGAAGGATTTAAAGAAAAAAGGAAATATTAGTATTTACAATGTGTATATTTTATAAGTTATCATAACTATTTCGGCGTTAATCTTCCGAGATTCTCTATTACATTGATATCAACGTGAAAGTAACTTAACAAAAACAATTTTTTCTTAAGTTACCTTAAATAGTGCGAATCTGTAACAAAATTTATAATTTTACAAATTCGAGTAATAATTTAGTATTGGACGCATCATGATTTACAACTTAATATCTTATTTCTTCTATATTTATTTTCTTTGCCTTTTTTAATGAACAATCGCTTCCTCATGATGTGGTAATACTTCAACTAGCATCACAATCTCTGCAATGATATTTCCTGTTTTTCCGACCCAATCTATGAAAAACTCTTACAGTTCTTAATAATATATGATATATACTATATATTTTCAAAAAATGTATGAAATACAAGTTTTATAGTAAATGGTTTTATATAAAAATTCCGAAATGGACAATTTTTGTCTATTCACATTTTCTTTATTATTTTCTTCCTTAAAATTGACTACAGCTATGAATCTTTATTGTCTTTCCTATTTCGATTATCTGTCATTCTAAATACCTAGTTTAAAGAAAGTAGTGGAATGCTGCTACAAAAAGGCTATTTTGCAATACAAAAGCTCTTTTTGCCGGGCTCTGGTAATGAAAAGTAGGATGAATCATGTTCTTATATGTATTACTTCCTCTTAACACATGGTCATAACCCACGGACGACTTTTCGACAGAAAAGCCCTTGTTTCTGGGCCGCGATAACTGTTCGCCCGTCCGTCCACCTGTGAATAACACTAGCAGCTAGACCATAAGTTTATTGGCTATTACACAGGGGGTCTCGCAGGGTTTTATTTTAAACATATTTTTCCTAATGTAAATAAACGATAAGCAATCGACGATTCGAAATGGAAATATACTTCTCTTTGCTGAGTATACGATTATTATTTGCAATAAACAAATAGTAAATATAACTATAAATTAAGATGTTTAAAATAAGATCCTTAAAATCCAATTAATATTAATTAAAAAAGAAGAAATTGTCAATGCAGTTATCTATTTCAAATAAACAATTCTTTTCTCCATTGAAAATGAACGATGTGCCAAATGACTAATCATACGGTAACAAAATTGTTGGTTCTCTCAATTGTAACCTTGAATAGGTCGTATGTTGAAATAAGTGATAACAAAATAAGTTCATGCTACGTTTCAGAGTTCTTGAAGTTAGTTTTTCAAGTCTTAAAATTATAAACGAGTAAGCTACATAATGAATATGTAACAAATACTGTTGTTAGATGGTCTGTTTAGATTCAATAGGGTTGTTATAGTTTTATATCTCGTATGCTAACATGAATATAGAGTAATACCGTAAGAAAGCGAAAGTTTTGTAAAATATATTTCGAGATTTGAACAAAAATACAAGTTTGGGTGCTCTCATCGGTAAAAGTATTCGTGTTTTTTCCAAATTTCCGTCTGTCTCCGTCTCTTCGTCCGTCCGTCCGTGAATGTGCGACTGTCCGTCTGTGAACAACACTAGCGCGTAAACTATTCTTAGGATTTTAAGCAAAATGAATATTCCTCGACTGTTCTGGCTCGATACGAAAGCTGCACTAGGCGAGGTGGCTCAGGGCATCAACTGATGTCACTGCAGTGCCTCTGACTGGGAGGTCCGGGGGTTCGAGCTCAGGTGGGGGCACAATTTTCGACACTAGCCAGACACCTAGGTCGAGTTCTGTCTCTGTCTAGAATTCTAGTGACCGGCTGCTCTAATCGGTAGTTTTCCGTGGTTTCTCCGATCTGTACCAGGCGAATGCCGGGGCAGTACCCTAACAAACGGGCCGTGAACCGCAACGGTGCTCCGCTGGTGGGAGATACTTAGTTGAGGAAAACATCTCTAACCGGTAAGTCGGCGCCGGATATCGCCATCCCGCAGGCCATCTCTCGTGTCAAACGATGCACTGCACTTACGGGAATAATGACCATAGCCGTTTGAAATTTAAAAACTGATTACAGAAAAAAAATTGAAGAATCTCGACTGTTTCACTTAGAAAAATGGTTTTAATTAGTTTTAGAACAATGACATCCACAGAAAGCTATGGATCACCGCTTCCCGTACTTTTCCTTGTAAGATTAATATATCATGCTTTCGATGTTTTCGAATTGCGGAGGTACACATTCACAAGGTTCTCCTGAATCATCTTCTGTGAGGAAGGTTGATGACTCGTTGGACAGGAAGGCAGGTTAAGTAGTAGGGACGAAAAGAGGAAGGGCAGAGGGCACATATACCCGAAGGGGCGTAGTTGCCCGTCGAATGCCATAATGACATTGCTCACAACAAGCAGCGATCGCCTAGTCATTGGCTGTAATGGGTTTGTGGAGCTTTCTGGATCGTGTTTCAACAGACCGCGCACACCCCTTAAACCATATGAAAGAGGCACCGGCAATCGTCGTAAGCCTACTTGCGAACACATTACATGAAATAGATGCATATATGACGCTTTTTAATTCAAGTATCAATATTATTTACGCACATACTTACCATAAACGTGTGAACTAAACGTTGAACGACAGCAGTTAAATAAATAAATAAAAATATGAAAAAGAAATGTTTACAAAAAATCTTATGATCTTATAACATTATTTTAATGACTAATGTCTATACTTAGTACAATTACGGTTTTACATTATTGTATGCAGTCACGTATGAAAATAAAAATTAAGATATTTCAGTCAGCTACCCAAGAAAGATAAAGAAATATACATCAAACATCATTTGGTAATAATAATAATAATAATAATAACAATAATTATTCATAATAAATTATTATTGCTACAATTATGTTATATTTGAAGCTTTGAGAAGAAACCTGGTCACAGCTTTCATTTTGTAAGTAAATAAAATAACTAAACACTATATCTTTGGTACATATAACTCAAAATAAATTAACACAATACTATTATGCTAATGATGCTAATTTGAACGTGAGAAAAATAATTTATTATTTACATATTTATTACAATTTATTTTTGAATTTACCTCACAATGAGGTGAAGTTTGTAGGAGTACTGCTGGAAATTCATTCCAATTTTGTACTTTCTCGTCCTTACTTCTTACGAAGAGAAAGTACTGTAATCGTGCGCCGATAAACGGTGCATTTTCGACAGAAAAGAATTTTCGACTGAAAATTTAGCAACTGGATCTATCCAGTTTTTCGTTATCAGGGCCCTGTAATAAGAGTTTTTCTGCCGAAAATTCGCTGTTTTCCGTGGACCATTACTTAACTTTCTCTCAACTGCGTAAGCGGTGGAGAGAAAGTGAAAAAGTGGGGGGGGGGGAGTGAATTCCGTAAATCTTTGAGATAGTAGGTATATATTCACGTTTGATGATTTTTTTTGTTCTTCTATATCGTTTTCTGTATATCGTTTCCTCGATTTATTTCTCGTTATCGGGAGCAATAAGGAAATTAACCGGAATTTAACATAAACATGTTAATTAAAGTGTAGATACAACATACACATTTATATTACTAAAATATAAAACTAGGTTATGAAGAAATATATATTAATGATAACAATATAAATTGTAATAATTAACATTATTTTTGGACATTTATTGCATCATTCTGCAATACAGATTGGTATAGTATTAAACAACAATGCTAAACTTTCTGTTGACATTACGATGTGGTATGTGATACATTTTCTGTACTAATAATGAAGTTTGAGTGTGAGTTCCATAATCCCTTCCCGTCATTTTAACTATAAATAGTTGAAAAATGAGTAAAAGTTTAAAATAAATAAATAAAAATAAATAAATACATTTTAAAAAATTGCGAGTTTTGATAAAAGAAGACATTTTCGTTTCCGAGTTATAAAAAACTTATGTGCATCGGTAAACGAATTGCAAGAATGTTTTTGCTGCATTGCTAACAAAATACTAGCTCGCCCTTATCTCCACTTCTACGATTACAATCAAAAGGAGAGTTCATCAAAACGTGTACATTGAGAAGCTACATTTACGCCCAGAAGCAAAACAAAGGAACATTTTCAGTTCAGAAATGAATCCCCCCTCGTCTAGCCCCTTGCGCTGGATCTCTTTGGCCCCTTCCCTCGAGCCCTTGGCTGTGTTTTGCTTTCTCCGTCACCTTCCACCCTCAACAGATGCCGGGCTTCACTTTGCCGCGCATCCGGGAGTCTTTTACAGCGAGCCGCAAGTTGCCATCTCGGGAGAGGCTGGTGAGAATGATTGAATCAACTTCTCACTAATCCCCCAAATTAGAACAAGTTTTTTCCTCCTCAAGTTTAGCCACTTAATCATGAGATAAGACTACTAAGACCAGGGGGAGTGGTATTTCAGAAGTGGAAGGGGCTCCGACGTCTCGTCTCTCGCACCTGTCCTTCAGCTCTGTCAGGGACAATCGCTGTCTTGTTTTCACGTCTGGCGTGTTGGTTCGTAGGCGGTGTAACCGAATGGATTTATTTAATTGCTAAATTTAAGCCAATTTTACATACTCAAGGTCAGCAACTTGACGGTTTGCTTGTCTGTTCTCCTCAGCACGTTGGCTCGGAGATGTAGACCTGGATCCATTTCCTTTTATGACTTGAGAGGGACTCGGGTGGTAAGGTGGTACCAGAAGAAACTCGACCGGACGTATTATAAATTGCATTAAAGTAGCGGAGAAGAGTTTTGATAGATTTTGGAAGTTTACGTATTAGGCCTGAGTACCCTTGTGCCAAGAGTGTATATGTTATATTTGATTATGTGGCCTGGTGATGAGGTCAAACATATCTCGATACGTCGTGCAACAAGTGGTTACAAGAGTGTAAATAAATGAATATGTTTTCTATGTATATA